ACAATGCACTAAGGGTGAAATTTTTAGGGAATGTGATGACTTGCATTAGTAGAGAGAGTTTCCTTATCTGAGAGTTCCCTGTATCAATAAAATCACAGGTCAGTCCCTATCACTTTATATGTGTTATAGAGAACAGTGCTCAATGAATGTTCAATTCATCCAAGGTTTAAGGGCCTCCTTTGTGTACAGCAGGGTGCTCAGTTGCCAGTCATGAAGCAATGAGAAATAACATAGTCCATGCACCCAAAGAGCTTGCCATCAATTAGGGGAACAATTACAGTTTCCTTTGCTGTATAATGATCCATATGATATTCCTTAACTGTGAGTATCCTTGAGTCTCTATCTCAGGCATCATCATTCACTTGACCGTTTATTCCTTCAATAAACATTTTTGACGAACCATGTATAAATCTTAATGCTGGATGATGTAGGAACAGAGATTAAATTGGATGCAATACAGGGAATATGGAGTGGTCACTATGAAGGACCTGAGGATCATAAAAGGAAAGATAATAGGATGGATGAGGAGGGAATTGACAGGCATTGAAATTCTCATATGAGGACTTAGAACAATTCCATCTTTGAAACATATCATGATTATGCTCTCCTCTTCCACTTTCAGATCTCGGTATTTCCTTGACCCTATCCCCTAAGAAAGAAGAGACAATCTTGCTCTAAGAAGACAGTCCCAGTCTCTGAGATGTATTAGGAGTAAGTGAGAAACCCTAAGTCCATCCCAATGAAGCTAAATAACATGTTCCTGCTTTACTCCTTACCAGTCCTCACTGCTCAGAGCCCTACCCTTAAGTCCCATGAGCTGCCCACACACTAAGATGAGCCATCAGTTAAAACCAAATCAGTGAGCAGACAGACAATGTTTAACATGCCACCTCAGTCACCTCCCTCCCTCCCCTAAGGGAGATGTTAAGGAATATCTAATCCTCAGCCACTGCCCTTTCCCCTCTTCATTTCATTGGCATTTCCACATGCCCTCCTCACCTGAGTCATAAGTCCAGAGGTGGCTCTGTCTCAAATGAAGTGTCTAGCTAAATACTTACTCTTCAGAGCCTGCAAAGAGCCTTTGCCCTCAACAGATTATTTGTGGAGGACTCTAGTTCCCTAGAGACTCTTCATTTTTCAATATATTCAGTTTCTAGGGAAAAGGCACTCCTCCCTTCCCACCTGACCTCAGCAAACTAGAGCTACACTAATGATCTGGAGCTCCTCCCAAAGGCTTTCCAGTCTCTGCCTTGAGGAGAGAGAAGGATAATTAGACTCTCAGGTGCTAAGGTGGTATAAAGTGAATAATGGATGGAGACTGTGTAACTGACCACCAGACCCTCCAGTCCATACTCTGTTTTATATGCCCTGTTGTAACTTGGGTGTCCTCCATTATGGCAGCCTCAAAGCATTCATGAAAATTGTCGTCCTTTATCTGGCATTGTCTGTTAAAACCAGGTTTTATCTCTATTCTATGATGACTCTTAGCACAACAGTTCTCAGTTTCTTCCACACTCCATGAGCTAGGCCTGACTATGACTTACTTTAATCTTTGTTCCATATATTTTCCAAGGGCACCCTGGGTCTAATATGTCCAGGTTGGCTCTTAATGTGAACAGTCACCTGATCCTATCCAAGACCCATTAAGGACCAAGTATTATCAATCCCACATATATCTGCAGTTGTTCTGTATATCTGGGGACACCAGAGAAGGATCTGGAAGAACTACCAAGTCCTCTCTGACTCTTGGGGATCAGGCTGTTCTCAACTTAGTTCTGCTCCTTTAACGGACAGCAAGGCCTGTCTCAGTTTAAGAGTTTGGTGTGGATTTATCCAATCAGATTCTTGAATTGCTACATTCTTGCCTTCTTAGGGCAATTATTTCCTCAAGAAACACAATCTAGGTACCTAAGGAGATAATGTGGTGCAATGGTAAGAGGGTTGAACTTGAAGTCATGGGACCCATGTTCTAATTCCAGCTCTGAACTCACTGTCTATGTGGCCTTGGGAAAGTTACCTAACCTAGCTGGGCCATGGCTGCCTTGTCTGAACAATTTAGAAGTTGGACTAGATGACCTCTAATGTCCCTTCCAGTTCTATTTCTTCATTCCTGGAAAATAGGAAGTGCTGAAGAAATGTTTGTTGACTCGACTGTGAATCCACAGAATCTAAATCCTCAATTCCAGCCTCCCACTTCTACTCCTCCTGGGAGACACTGAGAGTCTGGGCTGAAACCTGCTCCTAACACTCCTGCTCCTGCTCTTTGCCCTCATCTGCACAGACATGCCTGTTCTGTCCAATTCAGCAGCTGAAGCTCACCCTGCAGTGAAACAGTCTCCTACTTCTTACTGGGTTCTGTACATATTTACTCAGTGCTCTGACCAGGTTTATGTACAGACCATGTGAGGCCTTGAATTGAAAATAGTATCAAGGGAAATGAACTTGGGGCTGGGTGGTGGGAGAAGGGGAAAGGCTAATTCCATGCTGAGGGTCATATTTGTCTGTCCTCTATTTACAATCATAAAAGTTCTCTCTCTTCCCCATCCAGCATCCTACATGATGGCCCATAGGAATCTTTCTACTCTAGTGAGCATCTTATGGTTTCCCTCCTAGCCCATGGGTGTTACAGAGTCCTCGTCTTTATGCAAACACACATGCATGTGCACACATGAACAAAAAAGACAGCCACAAAATGATGTCTCTCTTGTGCACTTAATAAGCTGCATCTGATAGAGAAAAGGGTGATTGTTAGATTCATATGATTCATCCATGACCCTGATCAAGTGGAAATTCCTTTGGACCAGAGAGAATTTCTCTGAGAAATCTGATGATACAGATTAAAAATTGATCTTTCTTCCTTGAATTTAAGGCAATTTGTTTAGTAGCACTTTGTATTTTAATTTTTTTATTCATTAATTTAGATGTTATGAGGCACATTAGACTTTAAGTTGTGTGGGTCAGTATCTATGCCTCAGCTAAATTTTGTGTATCTTCCAATCCTCAGCATGTGGCCCTTTACAAAAGTAGCAGCTTAATAAATGTATTCAAAAGAATTGAATTGAATTTCTATGAATTAAATTTGGTTAGGTGGAATTGATTTGAGCTGAGTAATCCTTATGATCCAACCATTTCTTCTTGGACAGAGTCAAGGACAAGTTTTGAACCCATTGCATGAGGAACTAGAGTCAGATGAGTCACAGCAGCCATGTGGATAGGATGACTTTATCTTCTGAGGTGAGAGGAAATCCCCAGTAATCTAGACCTTGGTTTTTTCACCACTGAACCCCATCAAGTAACAGGAGAAATAAAGAAGGGACCTAGGCTTTGGGTGCTGGTTGGTCCCTTACTGCTTGTCCTCCATCGGTAATTTAGAAAGAACCCTGGCAATCGTCTGCACATCTCCACAGCCCAGAAAATGATCTTTTTGATGATGACGCTGACAACTAGGTGTAGGACACCAGGCCTGGAGTCAGATCTGAGTTCAAATACAGCCTCATTACCCCTTACCCTGTATTCCTCATAAGTCTCCAGTATCAATTATACATTAAATTGAAAGGCTATAATTGCTTTACAAATTTCTTACATTGTCTGATTTTTAAGAGGTCTCTTCTAAGTACCCAAACAGCTGGTTTGAATTGAAACTAAAATTGTTACCAGAAACCTAGAGTATTTTACAAATTATCAGATTCAAAATCTCCTTCCTACTTCACTCTTATTGCTAAATCCCTTAAGCCATGCATCTCCCTTTCTCCTTTTTCCTCTTTGTAAGGAGGAGTCTTCAGTGGAATGCCCAAGGATCTGTGCTGAGGCCTCTGCTATTGATCACTCTTATCAATGACTATTTAACCAACTAAAGCAGCTAAGCAGTGGGATAAAATTGCAGAAGGATGTTGAAACAGAGTTTAAAAAAGAGTCTAGAGCAGAGCTTGGGGAGGAGGAAGCCCCACTGTCATTAGAAGAGTGGAATTAAACAAATAAAGGGACAAAAATATCTATACCTTTTGACCCTGAGATGCCACTAGTAGGCTTGTATCCCAAGGGGACAATAAGAAGAAAAACACCATATACACCAAAATATTTAGAGCATCACTTTTTGTGATAGCAAAGAATTGGAAAGAGTAGATGCTCATTGATTAAGGAATGGCTAATCAAATCTAATTCATAAATATAATGGAATGTTTCTGTGCTGTAAAAAATGGTGATTATAATGAATACAGAGAAGGGTAGAAAGCCTGGCTTTTAGATATTTAGACAGGAGATGTGGGAGACGCAAGTATTGAGTGCTTTGGCTCGCTCCTCTCCAGAGGCTATGCCTAGGACCATCTTTAGGATCAGTACATAGGAGAAGAGGACCATCAGAGAGTCAAGGAATGCCAAGAAAACCAGAATGACAGGGTAGATACGATTAAATGTGATGTCTGCACAGGCCAGTTTGATGACATCCTGGTGGAGGCAGACAGCATGGGAAAGGACATGAGAACGGCAATAAGGGAACCAGTGAAGAGGAACTATTGGGGGAATGATGGACACACACCCCCTTAGCAATACCCGCACCCCAATCTGCACCACCCGAGAGTTTGTAAGAATGGTGGTGTATCTCAAAGGATTGCGAATGGCAATGAATCGGTCATAGGCCATAGCTAGTAAGATGCCTGACACCACCATGGAGAGTGTGTGAATGACATAGGCCTGTAAAAAGCAAGCACCATGGTGAATTTTTCTATAGTCTAACCACAAAACCCCCAGTACTGTAGGCATGGTGGTCAAAGTCACTCCAAGGTCTGTGAGTGACAACATAGCCAGGAAGTAGTACATGGGCTCATGGAGGCTTTGGTCATATCTGATGAGGAAAAGGAGGGTGCCATTGCCAAGAATTACAGAAAAATACACAGCAAAGAAAGGGATAGAGATCCAAT